TAAGAAGTTACTACAAATAATGTATTTACTTACAGTGAACTTTCTGAAAATACACATGGGAACTTAAGATGTGAAAAGGTCCCATATTACTAGTATAAATCTATCCAGAGGAGATTGTTGTAGCATAAGCAGCTTTGCCTTGCAATCCTTTGCTTTGCCTCTGCAGTTCCTTTGGCACTCACCCCTGTGAATCACGGCAGAGCAGTGCCATCAGGGCTCCTCTTAAACAAGCAATTTCCTCTCTGCCCACTCGCCTGCCGCTTCAGCTCTTGAGGCAATCACCAACTGCACAGCAAACTGTCTAGCAAAGGTTCTCACCATGCTACTTTTAAGACAAGAATGTGCTCTGTGCAGTTCATCTTACTGTAATGTTTTGGTGTAAATGAAGCTGAAAAACAAAAACTTGGATCCAACTTTAAAAGAAAATAGCCAACAGAGGCCTGTATAACAGAGCACAGGTTGGCTGGGTTTTGTGTCAGGTGCCCTGGGTGACAGGAGAGGGGCATTCTTCTGTGCTGAAGCCTTGATTTGGGTTTGTTTCAGATATAGCGAGTGCTTTGGCACTTCGATTTTTGGAGCTTTGGGTCTCTTTAGTCTTGGATGTTTGTGGTTCTGCAATTTCTTAATGCTGCTAAGACTCTGTAGGGACAGTATTTCAAAGTGGAAGACAAGCTTAATTGTTTTTGGTCTATAAAATGCAAGCAGAGTGCTGTGTATGATTTTCTTGGCCACCATGGAGAATACAGTTGTACTGGTGCAGTGCTCAAAGCCAAAGCCCAGGGCAACTTCCTTCTTGCTAGCAAATAAGAGGAAGAGAGTTAGAAAAAGGGGCTCCGACTGGGTGACTCCTGGCAGTGTCATGGAGATAAAGGCAGACAGTTCAGAACACAAAGCTGTGCCAGGCTCTGGAGGAGATGAGAGGGTCAGAGAGGTAACCCAGCATCAGTTAATGCACGAAGGCTTCAGCTGAATCAACAAAAGGCTGACTGCCACCTCACATTATGGGAGGGAGCAGGAAGATGAAGATACAGTTTGTGGAGATCGCTTAGGAGCAAGCTGCTTGCTGAATACATTGCCTGGTGTTGGCTACCTGTACCTCCTGCAAGATGCTGTAGGCACAGGTCCCAGTGTGCTCAGGATGCAAACAGCAAGTCTGCTGCGTGGAAAGTCTGCTCCTCTAGGGCAAGTGGCTAAGAGCAGCAGTCTTCAAATTCAGGTGTAAGGTTTTCTGTAGTGGTTGTAGCTAGCATGGAGGCTGGCCAAGAAAAAGAAGTCAAACCAAGTACAGAGCATAAGGCCAATTGGTTTACATGAGAGGGAATGTCTGTTGCCTTGAACTTGTTGGAAAAGCTAGCATTGGTGTTGGTTACATTGGTGTAACATTCAATCCAGAGCCATTAGGAACTTTCACTGAACAATTACGTATTTATAGTTTCTACTTGCAATTTGGTGAAAAACAAGGACTTTTAAAAAAGCTCCTCAATTCTTTGTGAGCATTCAGTAGCGAATACTGCATGAAGGAATGACTCTCAAACATGAATGTTTGTTAGTCCACTTAATGAGGTGATGCACTGAAATCGGAGAAAGCTCGGTTTGTATTTGATATTACTTTTGTCTGCTGTGTGCTGGAAGACAAGTATTTACCTTGTATGGAGCTCAGTCATTGCAGAAATGATGCTGAGATGCCCAAGCAGAATGCTGAGTACTTAATTTAAAGAAAACCCTTGCTCTGTGGAAGCAATTATTAGGGCTACAGTAGGAGGCAGCTGCTCACGTAGACCTAGCGATTGTATGCATCTAATGTATAACAGTTAATGCATTGTGGCTCAGTGTGAGCTAGAACCCCCTATTGTAGACAAGCCTTTAAGTATTTAATACCCAGGTCCTCCTTACTGAAATGTCTGAGTCCAACTTGGCCTCCACCTGGTAACTATTGTAAATTTCCATCGTGAAACTGCATTATGTTTCAGCCTAATTAGCATCGCTAGCTGTAGCCTTAGTAAAGAAACATTAAATTAGAGAGTACCAGGGGCTGAGCACCCACATCCTCTCCTGCAGGAATTAAATCAATTTCAGTCTTGCAGTATTCACACAGCTGATTTAATTTAGTCTGTTTCTCTAGATGATGGCAGCAGCGGAATAGGAAGCCCTTGCCATTATTACTTGTGTTTTACTCCAGAGTTGTATCCGGCCTGAGTGCTACCAGGGTAGCCCTGCTTATTAGCCCCCATGTAAGGCAAACACACTCTTTCAGTAGCAACAAAATTAAAGGTTAGTCAATAAATAGCAGTTACTGGCAACAAATTAAGATGAGAAACATTTTATTGTGGTAATAGGAATGAAGGTTTCCTACTGTGAAATTGGATTTTTTATTGAAATCAAATATATAATTAAGATATTATGCACAGAAAAGGTTAGCAACCTTAACATCTTTTGTCCATAAGCCAAATATTGTAGTATGTTGATATCCATGCTGTGAGTTCCCCATTACTGCTCTGCCAGTAATTTCAACCTGGCATCTAGACTAAATTGTCTCCCTAGGAGCCAAGAGGAAACACAGTTGATATGCGATCTCAGGCATGGGCCTTTCTTGAATGAATAAAAACGCTGTCATGTCTTACGAAATTACACCTGCTGGTTGTATGCGCTGATCATCCCTGAATGAGGGAGAGGGCAGAGTTCACCTAAGTTATGGCAGAGACTGGTATTGGAAGGAGCTTGATGGGATTTTACGCAATCTTGCAGCTTCACTCAAATATGTTTCGGGTAGGCGATAGGAACTGAAAGCAAGGTAATGATTATGATGTGTCTACGCAGTAATTTTAAAATAGATATTAGGAAGCGCACAGCTCAAATTGCTAGCTAAAGCTCGCTAAGCAGCCTCCGAGCAGTATATTCTGTGAATGGAGAGACAGAAATGTGATAAATGTCTGTCATACAATGCCTGAAATGCAGCTGTGTAATCTCCTACTTGAGCAAAGCTGAAAAGGAAGCCCGGTCACCGGCACACTGCAGGATTCCCTTTAGGCGTTTGGCTCCGGGGCCCCGATAAACACAACAGCTAGGCAGGGGTTGGACCTGGTGGCCTCCAGAGTCACCATCTACCCTCAGCTGTTTTGGCATTCTGTGAAATCCAGGCAGCCGTGCTGAGCCCAATGGCCATCTTACACATCCCTTCAAGATGGTCATCAGGGCTTCAAGCCATCTCACTTGAACGCCACACCAGCCACCTGCCTTTTGCTTTTCACAGGCACTAAATCTTTAGTGAGACAGCAGGAGATGGTGCATGATGCTCTTACTGGTACTGGGGGCTGCAGGGTCCTTCCCCAGCCTGTGGCCCCCAGCATGGTGATACTGCATTGGTGGTGCTGCATCCCGTGGGTGCCCAGTGTGATGCAGCCTGAGAAGCTGCAGGTTGGTGGGACTTCAGAGGTGCTGGAGGATCGTTTCTCTCTGTCCAGTTAGTTGTAGGGCCAGCAGGAGCAGAAACCTGAATCCTCCCTTTTTCATTCCCTATGTCTGGCAGGAGTATCTAAGGCAGGTGCATTACTTTAGTTGCGGAAAAATAATGAGAGCAAAACCCTTGTTTGTACCAATTGTCTCTTAACATTTGAAACCTCGGTGTGGTGAGTTTTAAAATTTGTTGCTAAACTGAAAAAAATCAGCCTTTGTGCCTCTCCTTTATTGCTGGAGTGTCTATTGTCATCTCAGTCTGAGCACTGTAGCCATATGCATTTTTTCCCCTCCATTCCTCATTTCCTTAAAGAGCTGATTTGTTGTGATTTATAGGGTACAAACTACAAAGCTAAGTATTTTTCAGGATGTAAGTTGTAGTGGTTGTGAGAAGGAATGAGACTATAATTCTTCCCCACTTTATTTTACTTAAGCATTTTCAGAGGGGAGGGCAGGCTGTATTCTTTCCATTAGACCTCTCCTTTCTTAATCACCATTCCCTAATTAATTCCCTGGTTAAATATAAAGAAAGCATTAAGTTTGAATAATGTTTTCCTGAGTCATTAAGTAAAGAAGAATTCCTTTCTTTTGTAAGATGACTCATCGCTGAGGGATCTGGAGTTGGCCCCAGGGTGGATATTTGAGCCTCCTGTCCCAGGTGCTCTCTTACCTACACAGGCAGTCCGAGGTGGGAGGCAAAGGTGATATCACATGTCACCAACACACAAAGGATATCATCCCTGCCTTGAAACCGTGCCCCCAGTATAATGTCGGTTTCTTCTGATGGAAAGCTGAGTCCAACTTGCAAGAGTGAAAATCTCCAGACAAAGCTCTCACTTAATAAATGTAAATGGCTGTTCTTGCTAGTACAATGTGCTGCTTGATGCATTTTCTTCTGTGTCCAGTCAGACTCCCAAATGTACCCTTTCTTTTCTCCTGTCACCTTCTCCCTCCTCTCCCTGCACCAATCTGCACACCTGACTCGTACCATTGCAGCTGTGTGTTGGGTCACATCCTAAACCTCATCATCCTGAACCTCATGACTGAAAAATAGACAAGCATGGTTAAAAAGGAAAGGCTCTGAAAAGCAAAAGGAGATGTTATGGTGAACCAAGTCATGGCCAAGAGGTAGAGGAGGGCAGGTTTTACGCTGGCCAAGCTGATTTTACCACTGAAGAAACATCATCTAACCAGATCCAGAGATTACGACTTTCTTCTACTGTAGCTCGTGGCGTTAATTTTCAGCTCGTACTGATAATTTTTAGCTCAAAAGGGGGTTTTAATAATGTTTCTTGGTCCAAATGTTGCTGATCGCTTGAGATGAGAAAAAGAATGTGCCTTTATTAACATGGCAGCAAGGAAAACATATGGAATATGTTTCATGTAATGACATAAAAATGCCTGTGGATTGAATGCCGTAACAGTGAAGGCTCCAATATGTAATCGCTGGGCGTTGAAAAACAAGCACTTAAAAATACCCTTGGTTTTGATAAAAAGTTCGGAAAACAGAAATCCCACTGATGTTCGTTCTTTCATTTGTTTTACAGGCATTCCCCTGCATTTCGACAGGAATTTATGGTAAGTAAGACCTTAAATGTCACTTATTCCTTACTCATTTTTTTGCCGTTACGAGTATTTTAACCAGGGATGTTTCATATCGGACGTCTCCTCAGCCAGTTGGACTTGAAAATCTTTTTGTACTGTGTTAAATTACAGAGAGCCAAAGCCTTTGACTGTGGCTGAGTGCTAGCGTGCTGATAAATGGATGCTATCATGCAGCCCTCAGCAGCCTGCCAGCCGGGACCCATGGCTGTGATTACACTCCTGTGGCTCTGGTGGCTCTTAAACACACTGCTTGTGGCTTCCGCAGGGAAAAGTAGGGTTTTGACACAGTTTTCCATCCAGAAGACAAGTAAGCAAGGCTCCCCAATGTCCAACGCTGGGAAAAAGTACATTTTCCTCGAGCAAACTTGGATAATGTGAAATTGTCTTTGCTCCCTTGAGTTGTGCTTCCACATGTTTAGCTTAATAATTTGCATCCAAATTAATACTGCCTGAAGATACGGAGGGAAAGGGTTGTTTAAAAAGTTAATCACTTGCTTGGTTGTAATTTTAAGGCAATCCACCACTTGTGTTCAGCTGCTTTTGATTGGCATTTTGGAAGAAATGGGCATGATATTTGAAGGAGGAAAAAAAACCACTGTTCCATATTTGGAAAAAAATCCGGAGAAATCTGTGAGAGGATGTGCAAATTTACCAGGGGACAAAAGTATTTTGCCATGTAAAAATAATGCAGGCTGATTTTTCTTTCATTTAGCTTCAGTAATGCATGCAAATGATAATACGTTGAATTACTTGTAATAATTTTAGAGGGGAAGATAAAAACACTATGCAGTGATTAAAAAAGAAAAAAAAGGCATTCATCATATACCACCATAGTAAGATAGAGCTGGAATGTGAAAATAACATCTAGCTCTAACTTCTAGCTGGATTAATTTCAGTTTTGACTAATCAGATATTGGAGACGTGGGGAAGTTACTTTTTAAAAATGACAGCAATATTTAGGGTTGTTTTCTCAAGAACAATCTAGAAGAGCTGTTATTTAAAATTGGTGACTGTAAATCTGAGTGAAGCTTCGGAGGGCAGAACCTGAATTACTTTGGGTGCTGTGTCTTTTTCCACTGAACTGCAGAAGAATGTACAGATGCCTTCCCTGCAAACACCAAAGGTCACTGGATGTGACTTTCTAAACAGCTCTGCCTTTCTCTGTGTTTCTGGCCCACCTCCTGAACTTTCAGGGCACAGTTCTACATTTTAGCTGTTGGCTTTGATGTTGAACTTTGATCTTTAAGTCGCCGCACAGAAGCGGTTTTGTGATTTCACAAAAACAAGCAAGATATGGCCTAAGTATATGGCATAAATATATGGAAATGACGACTAGATAGCGCTTTAAATAGTTAATTTTATTTTATAATTGGTTTATTTAAGAGAAAAGGTTTCAGCAGGTGAGGATTAGAGTTATCTGAAGTTGGCAAGGAGTGTTGGAAAGGATCTGTGGTAGGAATCTTGATCTTACTTTCTGGAAGAGACGGGCACTTCTCGTGGTTAGCATTGATTTTAACTGGTACACTGCAGCAGCACTGAAACATTGCACAGTGTGGTAGATGCTCTTTCAGTCATTGCTGTTCTCACCTTTGTTGAAGAATTGAGAGATATTTCTTCTAAAGTATTCAGGATTTCTGTTATTTATTCTATGTTTAGATGGCTTTTTAGCTTGTTTAAAATACCTCTAGTTTGATTTTGCTATATTCCAATAAATATTTTCTGTTCCTTACTGAAAAAGTTACTTAGCTGGGTGGGGAGGAGGAGGAACTTTCTTTGCACATTCCCAGATATGCTGGGTGCCAGTATAGCAATGGAACAGGCAACCCTGTGTCAGGCTTCAGGTGTCAGTATTTTCAAGAATGTTTGACTACAGCTGCAGTGTTGAAACTATGCTACATGTTGTGCTTGAGGTGTAAGGTACACCCAGACCCCTCCAAGGAATGCTTTCATCTTTCTGGTTTTGTTGGTATTTTTCCCTCTGTACACATGCATTCCTTTACATAATTTCAGCACTTAGGCAAGCAAGTGGATCCGCTTCATTCCTGGTGGTCTGGCCGATCAGTAATGCCTCGTGTGTTGTCCACTTAATGCCAGGCTACTCCAGTAAAATGGTAGTGAAGGAGCACAGCCCTTATTTCTCACCTCAGATCTATAGCAACGGTTGCTACCCATTCAGAAACCCTTGTCTGATAACTTTCACCTCCAAGTGGAAGGGGGCAAATTTGCAAGAGATCAACGAAATGGATCCAGTTTAAGAATCTGGATTGCATTTTCCTCCAAACTCTTGTAAATGCCTAGATTGCTTGTCTTTTCTGTTATTATTAGAAGAAAATAGTCACACTTCTCTGGAGAGCAGTCCTTTCCTGTTTGCATCACTGTAGAGTGCTCCTTTTCTCCTATAAAAAGGAAACTGAGGAAAAGAAAGCAAGCCTCATTGAGAGGTTTTGGCAGAGGGCAGACAGCTTTCTATAAGGATGTTGGGTGGAGGAGAGGGCTGCCTTTCCTCCCCAGACACTTCCCTACTGCTCCATTTCCACCCGTAGCACCCTGGATGCTGCAGATGGAATGAGTTAGAGCCCCGGGAAGGCCATTTGCCACAGGGCACCGTGCCAGGAGTCAAAACTTTGTTTTCAGTGCGCTCCTAAAGAGCTCTGGCAAAAGTTTCACTCGTGAGAGATTGTTGTTTTAAAAATCTGATGGTTTCAAATGGGGGATTAAATCTTTAAAAAATGTTTGTAAGGACAGCAGAAGAGGTACAGGTCTACCCAAAGACACTTTGGAGGAAATAAAAAAAAAAAGTGTTATCTTTTCCTAAGAGACCCCTGTCAGCTCTAATATGCTTCTAAACTGATAATCAGTCAAAGAAAGCAGAGGTTATGAAGACTCACGTCCCCATGGATCCCTGGGTTACTCTGTTCTGTAGCAATAAATGTTTTCCTTTACAACAAGAGCATAAAGGTTCATAAATAAAGCTGCTCCAGGAGCACAGAGGACGTGCTGCCCCAGTACCTGGCAGTCCCTGGCAATCCAGCAACTGGCAGACCCACTCAGTAACCCTCAAGGTTATTATTATTATTGAGTGTTCAGTAACACTCAGACCTGAGAGAGAGCAATATTAGCATTATCTCAGCTTTCTGAAGGCCAACTTCATTTTTAGGGGTACTCTTATGTTTTGCCTCTTCCCTATTTCAAAGAAATTGTGCTGTTTGTATATATATTAAAAATTAAAAAAAAAAAAAGGTGATAGAAATGAATCCACAGACAAATTTATAGGGTAAAAGGAATCTGAAGGTTAAAAGAATTATTTTAACACTGTCTGATTTTCAGCATATGCAGTAATAGCTATTAACACATCCACTTTCCCCATCTTTACCACCTTAATATGTCTGAGGTATTGCCAGGGAGGGGGTAGAAAAGTGACTTTCTTGTGTAGTTTTTATGGAAGAGCACCTCATTATCATGTCTTTAAGAAGTCATCTGCAAGTTATGGTATTTGCAGCCTGCAAAGTGAACAGGGATGTCTGCTACGGTGCTACAAATCTTATGAGCTGCAAAATTAAAACAAGGCCCTGCAGATGGTTATGAGAATACAGGAATTTTCATGCTTTGTCACGTGCTCTGTTGAGAGATCGTTGTGGGTTGGACTACATATGGAAGGACTTGGGGATGTTATGGTCTATGCACATCTATTTGTTACCTTCTTACTGTTATTTTACAGTAATGCAGGGCTTGGCTTCTGTTCCTAGATACTTGGAACATACGCTGGCAACATAAGCAAGTATTTAAATGTTATTTTAAACTTAGGGGAGGAAAAAATGGAAAGAAGAAAAAAGACAGTATGAAGAAATCTGTAGCTGTATCTCTTTTTGTCTCTGCATCAGTGTAGTTGTATATTTTATCTTGACTTTCATGAAAATATCATCAATCTTTTTTGAGAAACAAGATAATGGCAGCTTCTAGGTTTTGTTGCGAATGCTTATTTGCTTTACTTTTTTTATTATTATTATTCATGAAGAGGGAAAGAGGAAAGAAACCCAAAGCCATGAAAATGCAGTCTGGGTCTGCAGTGATTACGACAGTAGAAATGCTCAGGTTCACCGCATTTTAAACACATTCATTACATTGGAGTAAGACTTATTTCTTTTAGAATCGGGCCACTTATGCTTACTTGTAGCTTTTGGCCTGACCATGGCAAAACATTGCAAGGATTAATTTATTATGTGTTGCTACAGGAGAGCCTGAAAAGGAGGCTTAGAAAGCAAAGAGGAAAAAAAAAGAAGCAGGGGAGAGTGAAATAATGTGTGCAGTGTGCGTGTGGAATAGGTGTATATAACAGAGTCTCAAGGCGGATGTAGGGAGGTATTACACATCCTCTGCTCTGCCTTGTCTTCATGCAAGGAGATAGGCCCCTGGTGTAGTGCCAGCTTGTCACAGGGCTGTCCTGACCTCGGTACTTCTTCCTCTGTACCCAAATCAGGATTCATCACGCCTATCCGCGCAAGACTGGGAGCACATCCATCAGCTCTTCTCCCCGTGAGCTGATCCAAGCATTACCAGCAGGTGTGCCACAGAAGGATTACAAAAGCCCTCTGAAAATCTGAGTCGGGAGACTAAACCAAACATTTTCAAAGACAGAACAAATTCCTTGCACGGGGCTAAAGGTTGAGGCAATCTATTTCCATCTTTCCCATCTGTTTCTCCTCATTTTCTGCTAGCATTCTGTTCCTGAGATATGTATTTCTTTAATGAGCAATTCTAATAAGGATTGCATTGTCATCTTTCCACAGAAATTTTTCAGAGCTCTTAGGCACAAGTGTATAAAAGATAACCATAAAGTGACCTTATGTTTATCTCTAGTCTGGCACTTTCAGTCCTCATAACCAATGGCATCGTCATGTATCTGGTCATTGCCATGTGAATGTCGTGATGTCAAAGTGATGACAGAAGAAATTGGATGCTGTAGAAGCTCTCTG